ATAAATATCTATCTTATAAGTATATTTAAAAATAGTCTATCTAAGTATAAATTGTATATATATATATACATTGGCTATATAATTATACTTAAGCAAACGCTTCCTTAAAAAGGTGCGTAAGTCTTAATTAAAGACTTAAAACTGGAAACTGAGCCAGCAGTCTTGATATCATGAGGCAGAGAATTCCATAAATAAGGAGCAGCATAATAAAATGCTCTATAACCATAAGATCGTAAATTATAACTAGTAATGGCTAAATTGTTACTTGATGACGATCTAGGAGTACGTCTAGGTTTATAGATATTAAAACACGTTCCAGAGCAGTCTAGAACATTCTAAAGTTTGAATATTTTGGGAATATCCTAAGTAATATTTCGATAATTGCTATTTTTTGAATTCGCAGCAAAAGTCTAAGAAGAAGTTCATTAATTTTCGTGATTTTGCCAATTTTGGAAAGTAGCAAATATTACAATTTCCATAGATAATTTGCTATGATAATATTTTAGGTATGGTAGCGAAAACCGGCCGAATCATCATAGATTTGCTAATACGATCGTTGTAATTAAAATCAGGTTCATTACCTATTGAATCAATCAAACGGCTCTGCCCCAGAAATTTCTGAGGCAGTCACAACCAAATCAATCAAACTCTGCCCCAGAAATTTCTGAGGCAGTCACGACCGAATCAATCAAACTCTGCCCCAGAAATTTCTGAGGCAGTCACAACCAAATCAATCAAACTCTGCCTCGGAAATTTCTGAGGCAGTCACAACCGAATCAATCAAACTCTGCCTCGGAAATTTCTGAGGCAGACACAACCGAATCAATCAAACTCTTATTAGACATGATAGTTTCTCACAAAATGATTTATTCATTTTTACCATGATCCTAGAACAACACATACATGTTAAGGTGACTCGACTGGCTAAAGATTTTGCCGCACTGTCGATGTTGGATTGTGAAATGCGTTGCGGCAATATTATCAATATTAAATAAAAATTCATAGCAAGACTAGATAAATATGAAAGTTTCTTTTCGCATTTAAACCAACATGACCCGAGCTACCAATAACTTAGTGACGACCAGGCGATTTTCTTAAATCGCATTGTTTGGAAAAATACATTTTTATAAACCAGTGTTTATTTGATCGTAAATTCCAGGTCAAGGTCTTTCGTTTTACAATCAAACATCGACGGTGCGGCAAAATCATTACCCAGTCGAGTCACCTTAACAAATACATTCAGACTAAGCACTGTGCCAAGCGTTGATTCAAAAAATGGCAATTTCCCTCCAAAACTTAATCATTTACTGGCCTAGGCATTCTGATATTTTTTTATAATTTTCCTGTTAAGTAGCAAAATACTGTTGGAATAGCTATAGTACTAGTGTATCGTATGAAAAATCACAATCATAAACCATTATTTTATCGGTTTGCTTTCTATCTAAACTTCATTTGTGGCATTGTCATCGTCATTGTCATCATCACCATCATCATCTTCCTCTGCATATTTTATGCAATCTTCCGTCAGTCTTCTTCTTATATCCCGGACTTTTTCCTCGTCCTTCTCCACTGCTACGCAGTCATACCCAAGCTTTATTGCAGCTGACGAGGCTACACCTGAAAAAAGAATGGCTCAATTTTAATTCAAATCCTCTTGTCTCTGTTGTCATGCAGTTCATTACTGTTTCATTAGAAACACCGACGCAGCTCACACTAGTTTTTAGCTAGTTATATCTTTTTATTTTGAATATATGTAATTTACAAGCATTATAAATGATTCAGATTTAAGCTTTTAGAGATGGTATTTTCAGAGAAAGTTTATTCAGATGGCTATGTTCATTTAACTTGATAATCTGATAAGATTGAGCTTATCATTCTGTACTCGCAACCCGCTTTTAAGCTTTTAGAACTGAATGGTATGTTAAGGTTCATTCATTTTGATGACCTTCTTTATTTGTCTCGATATGTTACTATGAACTTACTATATTATTCCGACTTGTCATTCAAAGTCTTTTATAAGATTATTGTTCTCCCCCTTTTTCTTTATTGTGAAAATCTCAGAGCCTGTTATCACCTCGAGAACGTTTTTAATAAGCTATGTTAGAACACTTGTTCTCTGAACACAAATCTCTTTTCTTGTTAAATCAATAAACTTCAAGTCTGACCAAACCCAGCCGACCAGATCTTCACAATCTGTGTTGACCCAGCATGTGAAGGTAATACACTCAAAACACTATAAAACAGACCCAGAAACCTCTGATCCTCACACTAGAATCTCTAGAGTACCAAACAACTATGAAGTCTCTGATACTGTTGGGATTGCTCGCCTGTGTGGCTGTTACTCTCGCTGAAGATGATGAAACCATGGCAGTGGTAAGTGTTGATCTATTTTCATGTTGAATTCTGAAGAAAACCCTAAAGTTGTTAACTTCATTTTCTTCTACACTCCAACAGAAATACCTCAATCAGTTCCACTACATCTCACCATCTCGTTCCGGTAACCATGACGTCGAGACAGCCGTTCGAAATTTCCAGAGGTTCGCTGGTCTTCCAGAAACTGGTGAAATCGATGAGGCCACCGTTCGCCAGATGAAGAAACCTCGATGTGGAATGCCTGATGTGGACGAGAGTGGGAGTCGTATCAGAAGGTAGGACGGGCTGAAAGAATTACAGCATCATCTATTTTCTATGATGAGATTTCGTATGTAAGACTGAAGTACTAGTTCAACCGAAAAGAAGAGTGTCATCAGTGTGCATCATGTCATGCCGTACCGTTACGTACCGGGTTGTAATTCTCCGCTTCACTCGTTTCTTTGTCTTGTCCCTTCGATTCGTATTTTAGAAGCATGAATGACGTAGCGGTGAGAGCGCTATTGCACCATTGCAACCCGGGTTCGACACCTGCCGGGCTCGGTGTCGTATGCAAGTAGAGTTGCTTGTCGTTTCTCCTGATTTCAATTGGAATCAAGTGAAAGAAGAGCCACTCTGTGGAATCCACTATTAAATCGCATTTTTATTTTTATTTTATTTATTTTCGTTGTATGACTTTATATTAATCGGTCCAAATTATTCAGATACAAGTTGGGCTCCAAATGGGGCAAGAAACATCTGACATACTTCGTCGAGTACGGACGTGACTTATCGTCTGGTGAACAGGACAGAATCTTTGCAARAGCTCTGAAATACTGGGCTGATGTTTCTGGACTAAGCTTCTCAAGGGCCTCAAGCGCATCCTCGGCTGACCTCAAAATCAGGTATTATTGGGATTTACTTTGTGATCACGATTGCAAAATTATTATTTGGATTTATTCTGTAGTCACAACTTAAAACTTCGTTCCATTTAAGACAATGATTCATTTCTCAACAGCTTTGGACCCAAAACCCACGGTGGAAGTTCTGAGAGAACATGTGCCTACCCCTTCGATGGACCTGGCAAAGTTTTGGCCCACGCCTTCTTCCCCAGTGATGGACGCGCTCACTTCGAYGAGGACGAAAGATACACCGACGRAACRTCAAGCGGAACCAATCTCTTGTGGGTGGCGACTCACGAGTTYGGCCACGCCCTTGGCTTAGAACACAGTGACGTTAGGAATGCTGTTATGTACCCTTACTATACTGGATACGTACCAAACTTTAGACTCCAACAAGATGACATCAATGGAATCCAAGCTCACTACGGTAGCCCTTCATTATCACTACTTTGTATAATTTTGTAACTACTGCATGTGTATTCTCTTTCTGATTGGACGATCGAATAATATATATTTTTATTAATGATATATGATAACCCGTGCGGCCCACACCTTGCGTGACGCGAAGTTTCAACGCGCAACAATATTTGCAGCTGTTTGAAACGTAACGCAACAATTTTTCCTTACTCAATATTTTTGAGTTACCATTAGTCTTGAAAGTCGCTGCATTGTAAAACCAATCTTGGGCTATTTTTTAATGTCTTTTACATCACAGTTCATTTCTTTAAGTAGGTTTTTTTGCTCAGCGTTGGAAAAGCAAGCAAGCATAAAAAATAATTTTATTTGTGTTTTCTTTCTCAAATACTATAGGAAAGGCTGGAGGCAGTACAGGAGGCGGAAGTGGAGGTTAGTTGAACCGTTCGCTCATGTTCTAAAGTATTTTGTGTTTTTGTGCACTTTATGAAATTTTGAATTTATTTTCCGTTCTACTTTTTACTGAATTTATCACGAAAACACGGTTCATGTCACTTTTACCTTTATTGGAAAATACTTAACTTAACTTAGCTTAACTTAATGTACTTTACTACTAACTAGTCTTTATTATGAAACTCGTGTGTTTGAGGACGTTTATGGGCGTTGTTCGCTCGCGTATATAGTTATATACATTTTGATGATCGAAATATGTCAAAAACAAGTTTTTCATTTACTTTCATAACCCAAAAACAAAGGGTCGTCCCCTTTTTTATTTAGTTACTTTTTAAAGTAATTTGTAATACCTAACTTTCAAGTCCCAGTAAAATTTAAAAAATCTGGCGATGGGATGTTTTGCCCATGAACGTCCTGACACTGTTTAATAAAGGATACTAGTTTGTTTCAACCGTGGCGTTGCTTCAGGGTTCATGATCATTCGAGCTGTACGCTGAAATTTAGTTTATCGCTGCTGTCAATCAAACCTAATCAGTCGGTACCTTTTATGTTCTTGACTGGCAGGAGTGAAAACCTATTTCACAACTAGCTGTTGAAATGTTAGACTCCCCCACAGCCGCTTTCAGTAGCGTTGCGTGACGACACTGAAGGCGGCTGTGGGGGAGACTATTGAAATGTTTGAGCTCTCAGAATATTGAAAAGCGCAGTAAAAGGGAGAAATTACTTGAGTTACCAATGTTTTAATTACGGAGTTGGTTAGCAACAACAAAACCGTTCGATGTAATAAATATATTTTTGCAAACAGGTAATTGTGTAGATAAGAACCAAAACTGTCGCAACTGGAAATCGTACTGCGGAAGAAACTCGTATGTCGATGCCAACTGCAAGAAGACCTGTGGGACCTGCTCGTGTAAGATAAGACTGTACCAAATCTATGTATACTGGACTATACCCATACCCATACCTATACCCATATCAATACCCATACCCATACCCATACCCATACCCATACCCATACCCATACCCATACCCAAACTATTACATAAAATACTATATCTGTGATCCTGTTACGATAACCATAATCATAACCATTCCCATATCTGTACAATTTCTCTTATACCTATTCTTTTAAAATTTCAGAATTCAACAAGCCTCAGACAACTGATTATCTTCAAATAACATTATTATGACAATTTGTAAGTTATACCACATATTATTCAAAATAAAGTTTGAATAAAACAAATACACGTTAATTGTCTTCTGAAACCAACCAGATCATCACTGAAAACTCTTGAATCATCACGAAAAAAACTGGGTCGAGTTGACTTTGCATTGCATTGTGGGACTGTTTTAGGGAACAAAATAGACGCCATCTTGGAAATATGTCCCCTAGAACAGCCCCACAATGCACTGCAATACCAACTCGACCCAGTTTTTCCCACTCGAAATGGCGTATAGGCCTCTGCCCTCCTATCGGGATTATCGTGAAAGAGAAGCGCGAAATAGTTCACAACTATTTTACAACTAAATAGTTGATAATTAAATACTTTCAAGCGCTACATGGCTAAAAATTGTTTCGTGGATATATGGCGTGCACTCTAACACTCGATCTATTATGCAGAACAATCCATAATAATTAAGATTGTTATCTCAAGGGGTTGAATTTTTATTTAAATTTGAAAGCTTTTGACACGGGTTAGCAGTAAAATATGGTGCGCTAAGGATTACAACATAGCTGGAGGTTTTGCTTTGTGAAGGTATCATTGCTTAGGCTGTTTTGAAGCCGTACCATTTGATCTCAATTGGTAAGACTTTTGCTGTTGAATCGAATGTTATGAAGCTCTCTGTTTGATGTCTTTACCTGCCCAGCAAGAGCAGAACGATGCAAAACAATTTTACTGTCATAGAGTGAAGTCACTAAACCTGTGAAATACATAATATACCAATACACATTTAGTAGACCCTAATTCCGTTGTTTTCTCTTGTGTCTATTTGACTATTACAAGCTATTACACGTTGACAAGTATTTTTTATTTCACGGGTTAAATGCCTTCACTTTATTCTTGAAGTGCAGCCACATGAAAATCACTCGAGATATAAATATTGAAGGAGCTGCCATGCTTGTTGATCTAACAAGAGAAGCTGATGAGGAATGCTTTCTATAATCAACCAAGATCTTTCCTCCAAGCTAATAGCTAAATAAGAAGCGTTATAAAGAGGATATGACTGAATTTGCGAACATTTTCAGAGGTGAGTAGTGTTTAACCTTTAACTAATATAGAACCCTAAAACAACCTCAGTGATCTTAGTGAGGGCCCTGCTAACTCATGGCTATATCTCGGAGAATCTCACAGATCAAACACTGAAACAAACCTCAGGGCTGATCAGTCAGGGCATGGCTAACTCATAGATCGAATTGGAATTTTGCGTATCGGTTTCTCTCGTTATATCTTTCAAGATAGCGGTGTTCTTTTTTTTTTTTTTTTTTTTAAGGGAAGATGTTCACGCCAGATGTACACCACAGAAACACAGAGAATAAGATTCACTCAGATTTATTCAAGGAACATTAATAACGATAGCGATCAATTAGCATTGTTTTTATGTATTTGACTTGATAACCAACAGTCCTTGATCCTATCATCCAGCTGGTTCATATGCCATGTTTAACATCTAAAGAAAATAACGTATTATTCATTATGATATAATATTTTGTTATATATACGAAGATTTTGATTGGTCACTTATAGTATGGACGTTTTGGAGACCATTTTTATGGCGGCCATGTTGGAGGTATTTAACAAAACGTTTCTCATTCATTAGCTTCCTTTGCTGATACCACCAACATGGCGGCCATGGCTTTGTCTCTTGACTCTGTCGGAGGATCTAGGAGAAGGTGGTCAGCTTTTTGCACAACTAAAAAACTACGTCATTATTTACAAAGTTCTTTTCACTGAAGAAGACTGAAAGAGCAAAAGAGAGGGTCGCAATATTTATTCCTTTTAGTGAAGAAATGAAGGGGACGGGGTTGCGAATTGTTCTGTCCTAATCCCCTCCCCCCTCCCCTCCTTAGAAATGATTGCTCGCATTATCCCAAGTTTACTAACCTCAGCAAGTTCCGCAAGTTTTCTTGCAGTTCGCTATAACATATTTATGTTGGCCACAAAGGTATTTCCACAAATGACAGTCTTTATTTTTATCCACACAGAAACCTAGCGAAGTCAAACACACGAAAAACAGGTCAGGAACTGATGAGAAAGGACATCAAGATGAATGGTAAGGATGTCATAGCCTTCAGATCAAATATCTATATCTTAATCAATAACCCTTAAGATACTATTGTACGAGAGGATTCATATTCATTGGTTAAGCAGTGATCTCGTGCGCTTTTGTTGGTTCAAAGGGTGTAGTCTATTCCGTGCTGTGACGGTGTTGTGTGTCATGTCATTTTCACAGTCAAACCAAGCTTAATCTAGATGACGTTTACAAACAACTGATAAATGCTATTAAATTGACCGACAAAAAAGCTTTAACAAATGAGCGAAGTTTTAACTGATAAATGACTGCGACTAAGTATTTTCTTACTTATCGATTCCATGACAAAAAGAAAGCAAACAAATATACATTCAAATAACTTAACAACTAAACTTACCGCCTCCATTTCCACCCGACCCTGATCCTGGTCCTCCTGAATAAATATACATCATATAATAAATAATATATATCGATAAATATAAAATATATTAATAAACTTCTGCTGGAGCTTGAAAAAAAGAACCCCAACATAGGAAACCCCAAAAAGATAAATTTGTCACAAAGAACGAAACTAAACCTCAAACATTTTCAGTATAGAGCGTTTTCACTCACGTGAGAAGACAGCCATAAACAATGAGAAACTTTCTGCACAGTATTTGCACAAAAATAGAGATCATTTCCCGGAGGATAGAAAATGTATTGTTTTGATACCCCATAATGGCCGCTGAGACGTCACGTGAAAAAGCTCTATAGTTAATAGGTTCATAAATTAAATTAGGTCTGGGTGAAACCTTACATAACTGTCATATTGGGCATTTGTTTTCCAATTCCGTCCTTTACCAAAAGCAAAATTAAAATGCATTTATGTATCTCGACGTTTATCACGAATGATAATGATAACACGAGTGTTAAAGAGAAGGGAAATGACGTTTATAGATAGGGAGCTATTGGACAGTTTTTAACCCAGTAATCACGTGTATATTTCCTCATGGTTGGACGTTACGTTGGATCTCAATCTTACCGTAGTGAGCTTGGATTCCATTGATGTCATCTTGTTGGAGTCTAAAGTTTGGTACGTATCCAGTATAGTAAGGGTACATAACAGCATTCCTAACGTCACTGTGTTCTAAGCCAAGGGCGTGGCCRAACTCGTGAGTCGCCACCCACAAGAGATTGGTTCCGCTTGAYGTTYCGTCGGTGTATCTTTCGTCCTCRTCGAAGTGAGCGCGTCCATCACTGGGGAAGAAGGCGTGGGCCAAAACTTTGCCAGGTCCATCGAAGGGGTAGGCACATGTTCTCTCAGAACTTCCACCGTGGGTTTTGGGTCCAAAGCTGTTGAGAAATGAATCATTGTCTTAAATGGAACGAAGTYTTAAGTTGTGACTACAGAATAAATCCAAATAATAATTTTGCAATCGTGATCACAAAGTAAATCCCAATAATACCTGATTTTGAGGTCAGCCGAGGATGCGCTTGAGGCCCTTGAGAAGCTTAGTCCAGAAACATCAGCCCAGTATTTCAGAGCTYTTGCAAAGATTCTGTCCTGTTCACCAGACGATAAGTCACGTCCGTACTCGACGAAGTATGTCAGATGTTTCTTGCCCCATTTGGAGCCCAACTTGTATCTGAATAATTTGGACCGATTAATATAAAGTCATACAACGAAAATAAATAAAATAAAAATAAAAATGCGATTTAATAGTGGATTCCACAGAGTGGCTCTTCTTTCACTTGATTCCAATTGAAATCAGGAGAAACGACAAGCAACTCTACTTGCATACGACACCGAGCCCGGCAGGTGTCGAACCCGGGTTGCAATGGTGCAATAGCGCTCTCACCGCTACGTCATTCATGCTTCTAAAATACGAATCGAAGGGACAAGACAAAGAAACGAGTGAAGCGGAGAATTACAACCCGGTACGTAACGGTACGGCATGACATGATGCACACTGATGACACTCTTCTTTTCGGTTGAACTAGTACTTCAGTCTTACATACGAAATCTCATCATAGAAAATAGATGATGCTGTAATTCTTTCAGCCCGTCCTACCTTCTGATACGACTCCCACTCTCGTCCACATCAGGCATTCCACATCGAGGTTTCTTCATCTGACGAACGGTGGCCTCATCGATTTCACCAGTTTCTGGAAGACCAGCGAACCTCTGGAAATTTCGAACGGCTGTTTTAACATCGTGGTTGCCGGAACGAGATGGTGAGATGTAGTGGAACTGATTGAGGTATTTCTGTTGGAGTGTAGAAGAAAATGAAGTTAACAACTTTAGGGTTTTCTTCAGAATTCAACATGAAAATAGATCAACACTTACCACTGCCATGGTTTCATCATCTTCAGCGAGAGTAACAGCCACACAGGCGAGCAATCCCAACAGTATCAGAGACTTCATAGTTGTTTGGTACTCTAGAGATTCTAATGTGAGGATCAGAGGTTTCTGGGTCTGTTTTATAGTGTTTTGAGTGTATTATCTTCACATGCTGGGTCAACACAGATTGTGAAGGTCTGGTCGGCTGGGTTTGGTCAGTCTTAGAGGCGTAAGGATGAATCAAGAAAAATGTCGTGCCATAGACAGGTGCTCTAACATAGTTAATTTWAAAAAATTTTCCTGAGGTGAGAACATGCTTCACCCCTGTGAAATAAGAAATTCTCACGGCAAAATTGATAAAATCGTTTTGAAAAATTTAGTAAAATATAAATGGCCTCTGGCAACCACACTCTAAACACTGTATTTGGTTTTTTTTTCCACCCTCCCTCCCTATGGTAGGTATACATAGGTAGGTATTCCACTGACCAGACCGTCAGTGTGACAGGTGCACGGTGAGTTGTGACAGGATTGCCATGGTTACCGCGATTTCATGTGCCAGGCCCCTCTCATCCCACCGAACAAAGCACCTAACGCCAAGCTCATCTAGTAGTTACGAGTTTAATATTCTGTATCAGTATCATCTAGTATATACAACTATTGGGAAAAAAGGTTGGTGTATGATTGACTTGATACCAAGCCCGTAATGCACTGTGGGCGATGTGAATACAACTTGCATTTTTTCCCCGGCATATTCTTTTTTTTTTTTTTTTTTTTTTTTTTTTTTTTTTTTTTTTNTTTGTTGTTGTGCTAACCATTATTCGCACATCAATATATGATATAATATAATACATATCAAGCTTAGTAAGGAACATTCTAAACAGTACTGTGATACACAGCTTAAATAATCTTCTATCATAGTATCAAAGCCGGGACAATGCTTCGGCGAAGCCTGTGTTGACACAGCAAACATTTAGTCCGTCAGGTGTTCAAAGGGTACAAAATGTTAAAAGAAAGATATCAAACATTTCAAAATCTCATATCGGGATTTTAATCCAGATAAAATTTGAGATACAGGCAGGATATCTTACGCCAATGTACTCAATGTAGGACAATACAGACTACGAAAACGTACTCTTCGAGGTCTAATAAAATCTTTACAACATGTTATAGAAATTATATAGATTCAATAGCGCAATGACTGCAGATTTCCATTGAGTTCTGACCAGTTGACCTTTAAGCTCCTATTAACTCTAGTTCCACCATTCGCACAGAAGAAATTAGTTTATATTGACAGAGAAACAGTCTGACCAAACCTCTAGCAAACCAGACCTTCGCAATCTGTGTTGACCAAACACACGATAATCACACTCAACAGACTATAAAACAGACCCAGAAATCTCTGACCTTCACACTAGAATCTCTAGGTTATATCATTGTTGGTTAATGATAGTTGATTGTTAATAGAAAATAGTCACGTGACTAGGCGAGGGTTTGTCTCACGTTTCTCATAGCCAGTCATACCCTCGTAGAAGGCAACACGTTCGATTTGAATCACTCTCGTTGCATCTACATCTCTTTAACGTCTTTATCATGGCTCAGTCATTACGCAGATCATGCGTGAAAGTTCCCGCCAAAACCACAGGAGCCTCAACAGTATAAGCCATGACCTGGAAACGGAACCATTTTGTCGCAAAGAGATTCTCAAACATAGAAAAACACATAATTTTTCAAAAGAATTACGACTTTTTTTTGTCAAAGATACTTCAAAAAGTGGAAAACTAAATTTTTGTTTCTCATTGGTTGCTGTACGTATAAATTAATTTTGTTCTTGATTCAGGGCTCAGTGAAATCACAGAAACATTATCCATACTTTAATTGGAATGTTTTTATTTAGTTATTTATTATTTAAAACTAGCTTTAAAACTAGTACTGGCGGGACTGGGCTGAAGGAGCTTAGCAGAAGTCGATCGAAGAGATCTAGAGCGTGCAGTAGAACTTGTAACAAAGTTTGAAATGTGGAGCTCATATTGATCGAAATGACATTTATAGAAGAAAAGTAAGTCATTGATTTCAAGCCAGTAAGAAGGAGAAAGTAAGTTGAGACGCTTTAAACGGACACTGTAAGAAGAGTCAAAATCTTGATTGGAACTCAAATTTGATTCCTCAAAGTGCTTTCTTCTTAGGCCCCGTCCACACTATGCCGGATAAATTTGAATTCGCAACTTTCACACTGAAACCGAAAAAAAAAAAAAGAAAACGGATCCCATGTTTCGCGTCCACACTAGTCCGATCAGAGGCGGCAAAAACGCCTCATTACACATCTGAGCATGTGCATCGAAGCTGAAATTGAGTCCGCGGTGAATTTTTAGCCTTCCCGCCATGTTCCCATGACAATCATGACGTCATCGTATTCGAAAAATTTCGGGTACGAAATGTTCTCCGTCCACACTAATACAGCTAGCCGGCGTTTTCAAATTGTTCCACTCTGGAGACCGTACTCGAAAAAATTCGTTTTCGGTGAAGAATTGTTCCGGATTCGCCCGGACTAGCGTGGACGGTAGGCCTAACCGAATAAATAAAAATTCGGATTCAAATTTATCCGGCATAGCGTGGACGGGGCCTTAGGTTTTCACGCAAACGCACTGAGCTAGCACCTTAACCTGGAACCAATCAAATGTGCTGTCTCTTAAAGTGACCTTGGGGTTCTCGTTAGCAGGGACCTAAAATGTATCTCCAAAGCTAACAGAATGCTCGGCTTCTTACGCCGGCATTTGTAGCAGCATGACTAACGTTCACTGTCGTCAACTTCTCTATTTAAGTCTTGTCACTAGGTCGCAGCTATCTTACGGTAGCGAACTCTGGAAAGGCGGAGGAGACGCCCTCAACACAACCCAATTAAAACGACAAACAATTTACAGCTTACAACCCACAATTCCTTTCGGTCTCAGATTTCAGATCTCCGAACGACAACGTTTTTTGAAATAGGTGTATGATACATTCCAAGCTAAGCAAGCAAAACTCAACATGCAATATAACCTTGAGAAACCTTTTTTGAAATGTCTGCATATATTCTTAGATTCGAACTATTTGTTTGAAGAACCTAAAATCTGAGCCAACAAATCCCCGCACCATCATCTTTCTTTATTGAATCATTCAGCCAGCCATTTATCCAGTTGACATCTGATTCACCAATCTGCCTTCTTTATTTATCATTATGCGAAGGCAATTTTAGCGAATCCTCAGGAATGAAAATGTTTACCATTTTAAACCCGGGGGGGGGGGGGGGGGGGGGGGTACTCCGCCAGAATTTGGGTAGGGGTGTTCTGCTGGGATTCTGAAAGGGGTACCCTATTTATGACAAAAATCAAATTTGTAGACCCTGTTTATGGCAAAAGATATAACTTATTGCACTGCGTTCCTGTTTCAATTATCATGTCATCTCGCGTATCGTTTTTTTTTACGACCATAATAACCAGTTTCGGTCAATACGAAAGTAGAAACCCTGAATATAATGACAGGCAACTCAGGAAGAACTTGGACCTTGAGTGAAATTGCATACCCTGTTTATGACAAGAAGCTCGAAAAACCATACCCTGTTCAGCGGATCATCCCCGTATAGTCCATATATGGGAGTACCCCCCCCCCCCGGTTATTTAAAGCGATGCACAAAATATTAAAGTTCCTGACCAGTAATCAAAACACCCAAGGCTTTTCAAAAAGTGTTGATTATCGCATTAATAATGAGTTTTGATAATCTAACTATGGATAATGGTATTATTTCTATGTTTAATGGTTTTGCACATTCAAACAAAGAATCTTATTCTCACGAAAACACGTGGTCTGAAATGGGTAAACATTACGCCCAGGGTAAAGAGGTTTAGAGATTTTAAATTTTTTTCGTATTCCAGAGGACTTCTATTAACGACATTGCGGTGCATCAAATATAGAACTAAATTAGCAGACGCAAGCCGATGGCGGAGCTTTCGATCTCGTCTATTCCTAAATGTTTTCCACCAAGACGTCGTTAGGACTCTTACGGTTCTTTCTATCTAGTTTTCACCACGAACATTTGCACAGGTGAAAAAGCTGTTTTGTTGAAACTGAAAAGGAAAAAGAATGAGTATACCCAGCTTTTCAGATCTCGTAAGCCTGTGTTGACACATCAATCATGCAATGGCAATGCACTCGACGAGCTATATAATCGAACCTCCAAACTCCTTGAATCACTCAGTGAAGAAGCTATTAACCATGAAAAGTCTCATTCTGTTAGGATTGGTCGCCTGTGTGACTGTAACGCTCGCTGAAGATGATGAATCCATGGCACTGGTAAGCAAGTGATCTATAGTGTCATCTTGAATTCTGACGATAATCTAARGCTTTCAACCTAATTTTCTTCTAACCTTAACAGAATTACCTCAGTCAGTTCCACTACATCTCACCATCTCGTTCCGGTAACCATGACGTCGAGACAGCCGTTCGAAATTTCCAGAGGTTCGCTGGTCTTCCAGAAACTGGTGAAATCGATGAGGCCACCGTTCGTCAGATGAAGAAACCTCGATGTGGAATGCCTGATGTGGACGASAGTGGAAGTCGTATCAGAAGGTAGGACACAGTGACTATCTTACAAAGCTTCCAACTAACTGTAGGACGTGCATTGAGGAAAGAAAGGATGGAAGAGAGAAAGAGGAAAAGGGAGGAAGAGATGGCTGGCGTACGCTGCTAATGCTTCGTCTTTGCTCACTGTGAGTCAATGGGTCGGGTCTCTGGTGTGAGTCTTGCGGACATCACATGTGAATTGAGCTTGTTTGATGTGTTGTTCTCTCCCTTGCCAGCTTTCCTTCCTCCGTGAAAAAATAGTATTGTGTGCATAAAATAGTGAATGTAGTGGTTGTGAGAACGATGAACAAAAGCAGGGGACGTTAGCAAAAGCTGCTAAAATAATCAGCCTGCTCTAACACATAAAAGATGACGATGAAGGAAGGAAAAGGTTGCACAAAAAGGTGAATTTATCTTTTAAGATCAACTCTTAAAGAGAACAGTGTAAGTTTCTCTTTTTGCTAACTAACCCATGCCTGTCTTACTTTAAGATACAAGTTGGGCTCCAAGTGGAGAAAGAAGCATCTGACATACTTCGTTGAGCACGGACGTGACTTATCGTCTGGTGAACAGGACAGAATCTTTGCAAAAGCTCTGAAATACTGGGCTGATGTATCTGGACTGAGCTTCTCAAGGGCCTCAAGCGCATCCTCGGCTGACCTCAAAATCAGGTATTAAACCTTCAAATTTTTTCGATAAGGGGAAACAAACTCTGGGCTTATCTAAGTCAGGGCATGGCTAACCTGTACAGATTGAACCCTGAAACAACCTCTGGGCTGATCTAAGTCATGGCAATGCTAACTCACAGATGGAACCCTGAAACAAGCTCTGGGCTGATCTAAGTCAGGGTAAGGAGCTAACTCACAGATCGAACCCTGAAACAACCTCTGGGTTGATCTAAGTCAGGGTATGACTAACTCACAGATCAAACACTGAAACAACCTCTGGGCTGATCTAAGTCAGGGTATGGCTAATTCATAAATTTTACTGAAAACCCTGAAACAACCTCTGGGCAAGGCTAATTCAAACTTACAGATCAAATTGGAATTTAGCGTGCAATATTGAACACATTCACTCCATCTAAAATAAGATTTCATTTCTCAACAGCTTTGGAGCCAGAAGCCACGGTGGAAGTTCAGAGAGAAGATGTGCCTATGCCTTCGATGGACCAGGGAAGGTTTTGGCCCACGCCTTCTTCCCCAGTGATGGACGCGCTCACTTCGATGAGGACGAAAGATACACCGACGGAACATCAAGCGGAACCAATCTCTTGTGGGTGGCGACTCACGAGTTTGGCCACTCCCTTGGCTTACATCACAGTGACGTCAGGAATGCTGTCATGTATCCTTACTATACTGGATACGTACCAAACTTTAGACTCCAACAAGATGACATCAATGGAATCCGAGCTCACTACGGTAAGATGAGGAAATTCTTGAGGAAATTACACGTGATTATTGGGTTAAAAACTGGCCCATACATGGCCCAAATGTAGCAAATGTATTTATCTGGTACTTTCGCTGGTAGTTATCGATCAGCTAAGGGGTCACGTAATCCTGCCAAATCGTTCTATACACAAATTATTTCTTTATGAAGGACTATTGCGTAACATCTCTTAATGCGGAAGTTCACCTTCAATAAATTTGGCTTTCTAACGGACATTACTTTATCAAGATAAATAAGTTTATATTTATTTGTATTTTTTATATATTTTAGGGACAAATGGTGGTGGTGGTGGTGGTGGTGGAG